TTTTTTTTTATTTTATGTTTTCTCATGGTTGGATTTGATGACGTTACGACTGAATAAGATGGTGCTTATTTATAATCCAATTGATCTTCCTTGCTATGAACCATCGAATTGAATTTATATATGCGATTTTGTGTTCGTGGATAGTTTCTCACAATGCTCAGCTCTGATTTGCGGTTCATGGTGGTCTTTCAATAGCTTAATCCCCCTTGTGGTTCATTTGCCGATGCAGTCAGATTTACTTGTATCTATTTTTTGTTCAAGTCTTTTGGTTGGGTTTTTAACATTTTCCATGTATGTCATTATATGATCTAAAGTGATTAGTTTTAATGTTATAGAGAAATATCCAAATTATATATTTAGTTTACGATGATTGTTGTAAACTCTTATTATAATTTTGGATATTCACTTTTACATAAGACTAACGGCTTCTATTTAAAAAAAAAAAGTTGATTTGAAGAGTAAATGTAAAAAAATCTTGATTACTATTATACCTATTGTAATTTATATGTTTAACTTTTTATAATTTCTATTAGAGATTTTATTGTTGAATATTTGGTGTTAGATATTTAGAGATTAGAAATTATTTTTAAAGCATTATTGATATTTTTACAATAATTAATAATATTCCAAAATTTTAGAAATAATTTATATTATCCTGCTTAACATAGAAAATTGTCTATCAAACATGAAAAATTATAATTCCTTATAATTACATGAAAATGAAATTACTAATATATAATGACATTTTCATACAATTACATTATTGTAGTATTTGTTATATCTTTTTCGATTTTTTCTGTAAAATATACTTCCACTTTCTATCTTCCGTTTATTGAGGCATCTATAGTTCCTGTAAGCCTTCAGGGATTATATGTTCTCTAATTGTTACATTATTGTGATATAAAAACTATCAATCTCTTTATTGATTAAATCTATTATACGAGAATCAAATCTATTTATTATTCAACTTACAAATAGTCATCATTACCCTAAATCTTACACCGATACTAAAAAAATGTATATAAATCACTTTTCATACAAGGACAATAAACATTCCCTTCCCGGAATTCCCTCGGTAGTTTAATTGGAGGAAAATTCGAGATTTTGTATAATCCAACACAAAATAATGAATAAACATATATGCAATACGTTAGATTAAAATATTATTCGAGAAATTAATCGTCTAACAGATACTTTGGTCAAACATATATTAGATCACGATTCTATCCCTGCAGACTTCGTTTCGTATTTTTAAAATAGTTGGGGTGACTAAAACGAAACGAAAGTTGGAGTACTAAACTTATAGTTTACCCTAATTAACATCCTGACATTGTATCCCACCATAGACGGGGGCTGCTGTTGATCCCAAGAAATTAAAACCTTTGGCAACTTTAATGGCATCAGCCCACACCAAAAAAGAAAAGTGTTAGTGGCTCAGTGCATTAATGACGGCGTGCAATTAATATCAAGTGTCTTCCAATATAAAACCAACGTTAAGCCTAATACAATCAGGGCCAGGAATAAACTACATCTTTTCTTTTATATTTTTTTTCTATTAAAAAAACTAAAACTATTCTGGTTCAGATCTTTTATTATTAAAAAAATAGTGAGGAAAATGTATAATAAGTACAAAGAGAAGCTTTGCTCTGCTTTAACTAACTTACAGCACTAATGTCAATTTGATAAGAGCATTGAGGTAGCACAATGACCCACTTGACCCTTCCATCCCTTCAAAGAACACCCAATTTGTAAAATTCAGCGAGTCGATTAAGGTAAGTGGAAATCTAGAGGAACCCCACTTTAACTTTTTCAACTATATATTTAACTAATCAATGTGTAGATAATTTATTAATCTCCTTTTTTACATCATATAAATTATATGTTTTTAAACTATTTTTTTCTTTTGTTTTTTTCATTATTTGGGACGACTTAGTGGCATGCCAGCTTTGGCTAAAGCTGATATCTAGAATAGGAAGCGTATAATAAGGTTTACCAACTAGGTGATTAATAATAGAATTTAATGAAGATGAGGTTCTCACAAATATTCGCCATGGTGATTTTAAATTTAATATTTTTTACGTTAATATCATTTACATTTAAAACTTTATTATATGTTTTTCACGTTTATTTTTTGCACAGTAGAAAAAATTTTAAAATATTATAACCTAAACTTGAACAAGAAGGATGGTATAATGTCGAAAAATAATTTGATTAAATAATTATTTTAGTTCTTATTTAAATTTAAAGTATATTGACCTCTTAATGTTTTATTTTGAGTAAAAAAGTTTCTTATGTTTGATTAAATAGACACTTTAGTGTTTTTTTAGTATTTTGACCTCTAACGTTTTATTTTAAAATAAAAAGACTTCTATTTTGGAGCGTTAACTGCTTGTTGACTAATTGTCTCTATTCACATAGGTAAAATAAATTATTAATGACCAAAATACTTTAAAAAAATATGAAACAAAATAATTATTTAATTAAATATTAAAAAATAATTTTTGACATTATGCCAAAGAGAAGGAAAAAAAAACTTTTCTTTTTAAGTCGTGATATGCATAAATAAGTATTATTGTGGATTATCCCACACTTATGCATTTCGTTAGGTGTATTGGGAATTTAGGTTACTGTTTAATTTTCTTATTCCATGTGGGATATATGTATGTGTGTATAATATAGCAAATTAAGATTTGCTGAAATCAATGAATCTAACCAAATTAGATTTATTATCATATTCGGTTTATATAATCGCAATCTACTCGTGCTTTAAACAAAATGTAAGGGGGAAAATAAAAAGAAATCGAAAATTTTTAAGTGTGTAATTTTTCATGCTTGTTAAAAGAAACGTATAAATCATGAGTTTACGTAATTTTTATATTAATTTTTTTTATTTTATTTAATCAGCAGTGACACTGGTTTTGATGTTGATTGCCGACCATCGATTCTCTTATCTCTTTATTTCTTTTTTAGTTTTTTATAAGAATAATTATGCATTTGTAGCATATTTATATATGCTTTTATGACACGTTTTTCTCTGTCTTTGTAGCACGATTTTCGTTCGTTTGAGTGTTATTTTTTATTTTATGTTTTTTCAGGGTTGGATTTGACGACGATACGACTGATCAAGATGACGTTTATTTGTAACCACCCTCAGACTGAATTTGGATACGCGATTTTGCTATCGTGGATAGTTTCCCATGACACTCGACTCTAATTTACAATTCTCGATGATCTTCCAATAGCTCAATCATCTCTTGTAGTTCGTTTACTGAAGCAGTCAGATTTGTTTGTATCTATTTTTTGTTCGAGTATTTTGGTTGGATTTTTAACCTTTTCCATGTATGTCCTCATATGATATAAAGTTGCTAGTTTTAATGTTCTAGGAAAATATTAAAATTATGTATTTAGTTTACGATAATAGTTATAAACTCTTATTGTAATCTTGAATATTCATTTTTTAATAAGACTAATGACTTCTATTAAAAAATCATTATATATGTAATATATTAATAATTGTACATGTATACATACTAAAAATGTTTTCATTATTATTCATTTATATCACGAACATTTATACGAAATATTTTTATTAGATTAAAAAATATCTTTATTATTTAATGCTTTAATCACAAGGAAAATTTTTCTACAAAAATATATAATTTCTAACTGAGTATCAATTATATTGAAGTGTTGAAACAATTTTTTAAGAAAAATAAAAATCAAAAGTTGGTAAGAAGAATAAACTCAGAAAAGATAAGAGATTTAAAATGTATAATGGATGAGAATACTAAAATATACTTTGACGATATCATAAATACAGTTTAAAAAAAATTAAAAGAATTTCAGTATTAAAGACTGTGCGAAGTGCTAACATTCCATTAATTCTGCCATTAAACACACACGATTCCCTCGACAAACCAAATTCGCAAAAGATTGATCACGCTGCAGTTACTTATCAAATTGATCAAAATTCAAACCAACAAATATAAAATATTAATCTAAAAATGTTTGACCTAAAATATTAACCTTTTGCAACTCTTGTCGGCGGCAGCCTTGTAATAAAATATCATAGAGTTTATTAAAGTCCTTCATCTTAGCCTTCATTTTGCTTAAGGTTGAAGAAGAGTCCAAATGGTCCCCGTCTAAACAGTCTAAAATTTTAAAAATTTTATTTAAAAAATAATAATATTTCAAATTGTAAATAAAATTATTAGAAAATTACAAAAAAAAATAAAAGGTTTAAAACATAATAAAAAATATTAAAAAATTATATTATTTTCAAGAAGTAAAAGAATAAAGATTTGGAAATATTAAATATATAATATTTAAGAGAATTATAATGTATTTATGAAAATAAAATAAAATTTTGTGTTGGATAAAAACATCTAACATAAAGTTAATATAATTATAAAATGTTGTTAATAGAGATGACTACAATATATAAAAAACAGAATAACACAACTTAAAACATTTCTGTAAACTTAAATATGAAAAATATAACATCTATCGGTGATTCGGTTATCTTTATCTCCAGCTCGAGCCATCTTAGACTCCCATCCGAATTTTCATGTCGCTCGATTCGTCGAACAACAAATGTAGTTATTTATTTGAAAATTTTTAATCTTTTGATAATAAATATTTATATTTTTTATATATATAATATTTGAACTCAAAATTTTTAAAAATAATAATAAAATCTCTAATTACCGACATCAGTTGATTCATACTGTTTAAACAACTTTAACTGCTTAAAAACTTTGAATGTAATACATTTATTAATACAGTCGCACGTATAAAATATATACAAGATTTACTTGGGCTGAAAGCTGAGGCAGCATAATTTATTACACAATCTAGTCGATCGACTGTTTGAATGACTGTATCAAGCATTAAACAAGAGTGGCCCCATGACCTTCCACGTGGCCCCAAATTTCCACATGTAATCACCTCCCTATATTAGAACCGAGTACCTGCTCTGCTCTCCCCCACCGTACCAAAATCATCATTCTCTAGAAATACACCAACATTCTAATTCCTTCTTCGTCTTTCCACAATGCCAACACCACAACCGAACCGAGCCAGGGCGTTATGGCGCACCGTCTTGGCCTCCGCCTTCCGCACCGCCTTGGCCTGCTCCATAGTAGGCATCGCCACCTTGTACGGCCCAGTTTCCTTCCAGAATCAAGTGGCATTCCCTGCATTTTCCTATGTGACAGTCATCTTAGTTGTCACGGACGCCACGTTGGGTGACACTCTGCATAGCTGCTGGCTGGCTCTTTATGCCTCCGTACAGAGCCTTGGACCTGCCATGTTGAGCCTGTGGTTGATTGGACCGGCAAAGCTCACTAATGGAACCACGGCCCTTGCGGTGGCATTGGCGGGGATGATAGTGGTGTTGCCGGAATCAACTCACATGATAGCCAAGCGAATAGCGTTGGGCCAAATCGTTATCGTCTATGTCATCGGTTTTATCAATGGCGGCCAAACTCAACCGATCATGCATACTGTGCATGTTGCTGCAAGCACGGCGGTCGGAGTTTTGGCTTGCGTTTTAGCCTTATTACTTCCTTACCCAAGATTGGCTTGTTTCGAGGTTAGTCATACCAAACTATGTCTCACTATCTTTTCTATCTCCCCTAATCCATTGCTTCTAATAATTTTTGCGATATTAAGTATATATATATATATTGCTTCTAATAAATTTTATTATTCTTTGAATTTATAAGTTTGAACATCATGTTTGCAGGTATAAACATTTCATAAAAATAAAAATTATTTCTTTGGGTGGTATGAAGCACACACCTACTAATATCATAAAGGGTGTATTGGGAAACTTCGTAAAAGTTGAAGACTTTAATATTAATATAATTTCGGAAGAATGCAGAACATTGAAGACAAAAATCTAATAGGGATTTTGTACATTAATGCCGTACCCAAGTAAATCTTATATCCAATTATGACGTCTGAACTACATTTGTTATTTTTGCGAAAAAGAAAAATATTTTTATTTTTACTTTTTTAAAAAACAGCGAATAAAAATAATTTTAAAAAACACATTTAATCTATGATGAATTCTATAAAATATATAGAAAACAATTGGAAATATTTTTTTACTTTGAAAAGACATATTTGTCAATATTTAGTCAATGACTTCATACTTGTACGTACAAATTATTGGTGCGTCGAAATTTGCTACCATTAAGATCACAATTCTCTAAAGTCATCGTTTTATGTTAATATTTTTTAATAAATTCATATTATTTAAAGAATTAACTAATTTTACTAAAATCATAAACACTGATTTTATTATCAAGATATTTAACATATTTCTTTTTATTTTTTCCTTCAATTTTTTATACTTTTTATTATCAAAATAGATTAAAAGAAAATAATTTCGTTGTTATGTTTTGTATAGGCCAAGAAAAGCTGCAACCTACTGGTGGAGAACAGCTCGGAGAGGCTGAAGCTTTTGGTGAAGGCATTTTGCGCGGAGGAAAAAGCCGCGGCGTCTGGTTTCCTTTCTCAAGCAAAGCTATTGAACGCCGCCGCAAACAAGCTTCATCAAAGCATAAAACGCTTCCAAGTAAGATCCATCAATCTGTTATTCTCGTTTTTAAGTTCTCTTTGTTACTGTTGATTTTAACATATTATTTGTTGTCGGGCGTTGTGAACAGGGAAGCATGAAATGGGAGAAGCTTCCGTTCAAGTTTTTGAGACGCTATTACATGAACTCAGGGGAGAAATTGCAGGAAATAGAGATGGGTTTAAGAGGAATGGAAATTGCTTTGGAGAGTATTCCTTCATTTCCAGTGGGATTAATGGTGGATGGCGGACAAGTCAAAGATGGTTTACTTAAGCTAGAAGATCACATTAGCTTAACCCTAAAACAGGTCAAGAGTTTCATCCATGGTGATTCCGTCACTGTTCCTGAATCAAATGCTGAAGATGCCATGAAGTTCCTCCAAACACTTCAAGCAGTCCCAAGAACCCACCAGGATTTACCCACATTTTTCTTCTTGTTCTGCATGAAACTCCTTCACAGCAAGTCGTTGCCGAAGCCGACGAATAAAACTCCGGTGAAGCCAGATCCTTTTTCGTCGGAAACAATTGGTTTCTCCTTCATGGAGGTTTGGAGCAGCTGTGGATTTAAGAGAGAAAGGATCAAGCCTGCTGTCAAGTTCTCGCTTTCTCTAGGGCTTGCGGTTCTATTCGGGTTGATGTACAGTAAGCCGAATGGATTCTGGTCGGGACTCCCTGTTGCTATCAGCTTCGCCACCGCGAGAGAGGCGACATTTAAGGTGGCAAATGTTAAGGCACAAGGTACTGCCTTGGGGACAGTATATGGAGTTATAGGGTGCTTTCTTTTCGAAAGGTTCTTGCCAATAAGGTTCTTGTCTCTTCTTCCTTGGTTCATCTTCACAACTTTCCTACGTCAAAGCAAGATGTACGGTCAAGCCGGTGGAATATCCGCCGTGGTCGGAGCCGTACTGATACTGGGAAGGAAAAACTTTGGTCCACCAAGTGATTTTGCCATCGCAAGAATCGTCGAAACATTCATCGGTTTATCTTGTTCGATTGCGGTGGAGCTTCTTTTCCAGCCCAAAAGAGCTTCAGCTCTGGCCAAAATCGAGCTCTCGAAAAGCCTGGAGACATTGCATGAATGCATCAGCAACATTTGTCTCGAACCCATTGAAGCCAACCATGTCGAGAATCAGAAACAGTTGAAATTTCATGTGAATCAGTTAGGTAAATTCATTGGAGAAGCTGATGTGGAGCCCAATTTCTGGTTTTTGCCTTTTCATAGTGCTTGCTACGGTAAGCTTTTGGGGTCATTGTCAAAGATGGTGGATCTCCTGCTATTCGGTGCTCATGCAATAGGATTCCTCAAACAAGACTCACAAAAACTCGAAATTCCATGGAAGGGAACCGTAAATAAATTTGACGATGACCTTAAGCTCTTCAAAGAGTCAATTGGGTCATTAATAAAACATCTTTCCAAGATTCCATCGATCAAATCCATCCCTATACTCGACAAGGAGCTTGAAAATAACAACATTTCTTACGATATCGAGATCGGAAAATCACCATACCTGAAACTTTTCAGGGTTTCTGATTCAGATGAAGATGAAATGGACAAGGTTTTGAATTCATTTCTTCAACATTCAAATGAAGCTATTGACGTGATGCAAGGCATTGAAGGTGAGAATGAGATTAAGAGCCAGATGGTATTAAGTTTGAGTGCCCTGGGGTATTGCATTAAAGCTTTAACAACGGAAACAAGGAGAATTGAAGAAGGAATAAGGGAACTTGTTCAGTGGGAGAATCCTTCAAGTCGTGTAAACTTGCATGAAATCTCATGTAAAATACATGCTTTATGCGGTTAATTGTAATTATACCGTGACAAAGGATATAATTTAATCTGAGAAAGAAATATCGACTCCTAAAACATCTTCCTAAATGTGCAGTTGATGAAATATTAAAGATATATGGAATATTAATATTCCCTATTATCATTATATATACATTATGAACAAACTATATGAAAAGTGGAAGGCACATGTATGCTAAAAAAATATTATTTTATCAATTTAAAAGAATAAGTAGGTGACTAAATACGGTATTTACCCTAATAATTATAAATTCCACTTTGTCGAGGTTTAAAGCTTAGATTCATAAGATTCGTTTAACTTTCTCTGGAATAAAATGGTTGTCCCTTGTTCCTATATGGAATGGGATAAGGGAAGGTAAGATAGTAGGTTGCCCCCAACTAAGTTGAGAGCAACTTCCTGGAGACCTTCAAATTATAAAATGCCCTCCATGAGACACGATCCCACGACCTCAAGGTTAAAAACATTGTGCTCTACCAACTGAGCTGGATGGTCATTTCCTTTCTGGAATAAAGTTGTTGCATATAATCCTAACAAGGGCGGAAAGAGATTAAAGGGACGTGTCGCAACCGTCTTTCAGTTAGGCCCCGAGATTGGGTTTCGACTTAGGAAAATGGATTGAGAGTCGCCACCGATCATTTATTTAAAAATAAATGGGTTGATCGGATACCCTATTTCTTACCTGATCTGCGTCTTACCCAAAATGTGTCGGGTTCGGGAGTCGGTTACGGTTAAGGAAGGATTAGCACCCTTGAACCGTCCTTTCGGTACTACGTACTTTCCAGTTGTCTTTGATTAAGAAAAATGCATTTTAAATTAAAAGGTAAAATAGCGATCCAAAACTTACCTTTGACGGATTTAAATCATGCCTTTTAAAGAAAATCATAAAATGTTAGATGAAAAATAAGGAATAAATGAATAAAATAAATAAACCCAAGCAAGAAGGAAGATAGAATTAGTAAAAAAAAGCTAAGATAAATAAATAAATAAGATAATAAATTGATAAAATGAAAATAAACACATAATTAATAAATTAATAGAACAAATTAGAAAAACTAAGCAAAAGTAAAAAATACAAATACAAATACAGAAAAAGAAAAAAATGGATAAAAAAATAGTAATAAAATACGAGAAACTAAAAATGATAATATATATAACTATTAAGTAATAACAATAATAAATAGGAAAAAACGCCACTCCACCGAAAATAAAAAAAAGGGATACAAATTTTAAAAAAGGGATACGGATTAAAAAAAAGATAAAGGTTTGGTCATCTACAAGAGGGGGTAGGGCCTAAAGGAGTGATAATTCAAAACGTTAGGTTATATATAATATAATAATAATGAGATATGGTTTTTTAATACAAAGCAAATGAGAATGATGAAACGTGTATACATATAATATTAGAGAAAAAAACATATGTATATATAGTTAAAAATAAAATAAAACTAGAAAAGCTAATGATTTAAAAAGTTTATATATATTAACGTATATAAAAAGAATAGAAATACAATATAAATAAAAGAAAATGATAGTAATATAAATAAATAAAATATTAAGAAAAATATACATATAAATAAAATAAAACAAAGAGATGAAATAATAACAATTAAAACTTAAATACATGGGACCGAATTGAATGAAAAACAGAAGTGTGTATCGATTTTAGGAGGAATTGGGGCGATAATAGAAGAACTAAAGAACGGAGGACCAAAACTGTGGTTTACCCTATTTAAATGAAAACACGTGGGTCGCTTGCAGGTATGGGTCGAGTCATGGATCAGGCGCGGGTCCTGATGGTTGCAAATATGAAAGCCAAAAGAAAAAGAAAAATTTAATATTCTTCATTTCTCTCTTCCCCAGACGAAAACCCCTCCTCTCTTTCTCTCGTTTTCTTTAGTTTGTTCATCCAAAATGATGAACGCCGCCACTCGTTTCCAGAAAACGGTGGATTTCACCTCGCCGGCCGCCGGTCATGGGTGGTGGTACACAACAAAAAACCGTTTTTTAAAGAGCTCTTCTTCTTCTTTACTCAAAAGTCCAAGTGTGTTTTTAAAACCCGAGCTTTAGAGAATATTAGATCTAAAAAATATTTTCGAAAATAAGGGCCTCATCTCATTCATCGGCCGAAAACTTTGATGTTTTTGAGCGAAAACAAAACAACAACGCATGCAAGTCACCAACGAAACGAAAAAAAGGTTCTACCTTTTTTATATTTCTTTGCTGTTCGAAAAGGTACAAGTGCTTCCTCTCCTCTGTATTTTTCTAGTACTCTAGTAAGATTTCTGTGGTAATCCTTTATGTATTGTGGATTTTTTCCTCCTCCTGAAGATGTTCACTTTACATGTATTTATAGTCTAAGAATACTAGTCTTAGTCCCGATTTTCTAGCATTTTATTTGGACTAAATCACTGCTTGGTTGGTTGTGGATGTATCCTTGTATCTCACGTCGTTGTGTTTGTTGAACATGTGAGAAATGACCGTGAAAGGAGGCGTGCGGCCGTGAAACTCGGGTGTTGGGACTGCTGCGCGGTGCTGGGTCTTCAACAGGGGAGAACGGCGCTGATGGAGCGTGTGAGGCTAGGGTTCTTTGGAAACCCTAAGTATGCACGGGTTTGGGTTTTGACTGGGGCCCTTGGGATTTGGGCCTTTATTGTTGGGCCTGTAACAGAAATTTAAGGATGTAAATAAATTATAATTTAAGAACTAACTTTGAGAGTAACTGGAAATGAAGTACTGGAATGAAGGAGATAGATAATGAATAAAAGAAAAATTTGTTTGCCATGGAAAAGAAAAATGCATCCTTTATTAAACTTAAACAAAACATTTATTCACCCTTACAAAAGATCACCTATTGCCCCGGGTATAGGCAAATAGGGGTAGTTCGAATATTACTCTGAAAGATTCTTGTAAACCACAGGTAGTTCTTCCACCGACCAACTGCTAGGCACGAACCCATGTGGCAGAAGGCATATCCCGGATCTATCTCTGTTGTCAACATCTTCTGTGGTCACGTCATTAACGTTCAGATCTTCCAGAGCCGTTTCTAACTCGGATATGGTGGTCTCAAACATATAACCACCTGACTTGAATGTTCTGAAAAGCGGCGGGAATGTCATAGGCTTCCATTGGAGTTTGTTTCCAGTCAATCTGGTCAACCTTCTCTCCCGGTTCTTTTGGATCTCCTTTCTCTTTTCATAATAACTGGGCTGAAAACCGAGCCCAAATTGGTCTAATTTTGAGATAGGAAGGACAGGATTGATCATCCCTTGCAAATATTTCCCAAAACCTTTACCGGTTCTGGCGCCTCGGCCCAGGGTTTGCTTGATCTCCATCCTTGTGCATTTGGAGAGTCGAGGTCTTGGGATTCTCTTTCCTTCCGCCACGAATGTGGCATTCACAAACTCCAAGGAGCGGAACGAACATTCTACTGCTTCCTCGTCTACTTCGATGTATGGGGCCTCTGTGGTCACGCTTGCCACGATATCTTCTTCAGCGTTGATAATTACTAAGGCCCCGTCAATGACAAATTTAACTTTCTGGTGCAACGTGGAGGGTACTGCACCTGCTTGATGAATCCACGGCCTTCCTAAAAGACAACTATAGGACGGCATGATATCCATCACAAGGAACTCGACATCATAAGTGGTTGGTCCAATGGTCAATGGTACCTCGATCTTTCCGATTACATCTCTTTTGGTCCCATCAAATGCTCGGACCACATTCTGACAAGCTCTCATATGAGAGGTATCTATTGGTAGCCTCTTCAATGTAATTAAAGGCATCACGTTCAAGGCTGAACCATTATCGATTAAGACACTTGGTAAAGCGTGCCCCTTACAGTAGGTAGTAATGTGTAACGCCTTCGTTCGGCCTCTTCCTCCTGATGGAATCTCATCATCTGAAAACGAGATGAGATTATCAGCTTGAATATTGCTCACCAGTCGATCCATCTTGCTGACTGGTATGTCTTGTGGCACGAACGTTTGATTAAGAACATTCAACAACGCTTCTCGGTGTGCTTCCGAGCTTAAAAATAGTGCTAGCATTGAAGTACGTGTAGGTAAGTTGTGGAGCTGTTCTACAATGCTGTACTCGCTGTGCTTCAAGATCTTGAGGAACTCTTTAGCTTCTTCCTCCTTTATAGGTTCATTGACGACTAGCACGTCTTCTTTGAATGGCTCCAGTGGTCTTTGCCCCACTTTACTATTACCTCCTCCGGAAGTGCTCACCTGACACTCGTACTTCCATGGCACTTGCCGATTGTCCTTATATTGAAAAGGCCGAGGTGCGGAGATTACCACCTTGGCTGGTGTTGTCACTGTCATGCTTGCCTTAGGGGTAATTATCAAAGGACTACCCCTACCAAATTTTCTATCTGATGATTCTCCGGTGGCACAAACATCTGCTCCCAAAGAATCTTGAATTTCTTCGTAGAACTCCAGCTCTTTCTGGTTCATCATGAGTTGGACTAACGATCTGAACTCTGGGCAATCTTGTACTTTATGTCCTTCTTCGTTGTGATAACAACAATGGTTACAACCTTCATTTTCTGTCGTATCTGGATATGGTGCAAGAAGCCCTGCCTTCACCATTTGGCTCCATACCCATATCAAAGGAGATTTGATCTCTGAAACACTCGATTTAACTTTCCTGCCCCCTTTGGTAGTAACGGTATTGATTCCTGTCTCCTGATGATTGGGCAAGGGATTCTGGGCGACGTTTGGTGCTCCGGAGTTGAAAGTGATCCAATTTTTGTTTCGCATTCGTTGCACAAGTCTTTTGAATGCGAGACAACTTTCAATCGAATGCCCCTGCACACCGCCATGGTATTCACAGTGAGCACTCTCGTCATACCTTTTCGGGTAAGGGGGATTTATTGGATTCATAGGATAAGGCGACACTGCATGAGTGTCGAAGAGCTGTTGGTATAATTCTTTATACGTCATGGGAATAGGGTCGAACTGTTCCCTTTCCCTTTCTCTTCTTGGTTCTCT